ACATGACGGGTCAGGTGACATGACGATTCAGGTGACATGGCGGGTCCAGGTGACATGGCGGGTCCTGGTGACATGGCGGGTCCAGGTGACATGGCGGGTCCAGGTGACATGGCGGGTCCAGGTGACATGGCGGGTCCAGGTGACATGTCAGTCCCTGGTGACATGCCGGGTCCAGGTGACATGCCAGTTCCAGGTGACATGAGAGGTATTGGTGACATGAGAGGTCCTGGTGACATGCCAGGTTCAGGTGACATGGCAGGTCCAGGTGACATGGCAGGTCCTGGTGACATGGCAGGTCCAGGTGACATGGCAGGTCCTGGTGACATGGCAGTTCCAGGTGACATGAGAGGTATTGGTGACATGAGAGGTCCTGGTGACATGCCAGGTCACCTTATAGATCTATGGTCACATGGCAGACCAGTGGTGACATGGCAGGCTGGTTGGTAAATGTTAAGACCTGTGGTGTACTGAACTGAAAGCGAACAGGACAGGCCAATGGCAACTATATTATCATTATTTTATTTACTATTATAATTAGATATTGTTTTATTATATGAGATGTAGTTCAATTTAATCAGGTAAATAATTCCCATTCACATAACTTAGTTTTGTTCAGTACAACGACACAATTTATGAATTTGCTCGATTTGGCTTTGCTTGCGTGACGACCAAGCGTTGGGGTAATTGAGTGTCTTTAAATCACTGACACAGGCGTTTCAGATTGACAGCAAATAATTTGACTGAGATGTACAATCTAGTATTACAGACATATTGTGAGCTGTGCGATCAAGAGTTTGTGTACTGGCAAGTGAATAATTGCATTGGTTTGACAATAGACTTAGCACTCGCTTGGGAAAGTTAGCAAAATAAAATTAGCATACAACCGGTAAGTAAAATATAATTTACAAGATTATGACAGAGAAAATCTAAGTTTTTCCAAAAGATGTTGCTAGTACCGGTAGTACATTTTTTCCACTTGGTAGCACACTGGTAGAGATATATACAGTGCAATCACAGAAACATTTGATTCTTGTTGAGTTATGATCAATCAACTTCTATCAACAATATTGTCCATATGCGATTAACATGCCAATCAGTTTAACATCAATAAATGATCAAATCTGACACTGGTGCACATTATTAACTATCCAAGAAAGTATTATAGCTATTGGTATAATTGTATTATGAGGTTATTACGAAGATACTGCAAGGTATGTATGAAGACAATACAGCGGGAGTATCGATCGAAGTGCATACTTTGCGGTATCCTATTACTAATATTATTAGTACATCTGGTTGGTACAGAATACTGTAGATTACTTCATTACTGAAGTACATCTGGTTGGTACAGAATACTGTAGATTACTTTATTACAGAAGTACATCTGGTTGGTACAGAATACTGTAGATTACTTTATTACAGAAGTACATCTGGTTGGTACAGAATACTGTAGATTACTTCATTACTGAAGTACATCTGGTTGGTACAGAATACTGTAGATTACTTTATTACAGAAGTACATCTGGTTGGTACAGAATACTGTAGATTACTTTATTACAGAAGTACATCTGGTTGGTACAGAATACTGTAGATTACTTCATTACTGAAGTACATCTGGTT